GCACCTTTGAAAAGGCTTTGCAAAATCTGCAAGAGTTCATCCCAGACCAAGCGTGTAATCCTGCCCGCATCTACTCAGAAACTAGCCTGCCTTGATTTCAACGAGGTTTACACCCAGGTGAATCACGGGAAGAAATGGAGGCAGTGAGAGATTTTACTTTCTTGGGCTCCATGATCACTGCAGATGGTGACAGCAGTCACGAAATTAAAAGACGCCTGCTCCTTGGGAGAAAAGCAATGACAAACCTAGACAGCGTCTTAAAAAGCAGAGACATCACCTTGCCGACAAAGGTCCGTATAGTTCAAGCTCTGGTTTTCCCAGCAGTGATGTATGGAAGTGAGAGCTGGACCATAAGGAAGGCTGATCGCCGAAGAATGGATGCTTTTGAATTCTGGTGCTGGAGGAGACTCTTGAGAGTCCCATGGACTGCAAGAAGATCCAACCTCTCCATTCTGAAGGAAATCAGCCCTGAGTGCTCACTGGAAGGACAGATCGTGAAGCCGAGGCTCCAAGACTTTGGCCACCTCCTGAGAAGAGAAGACTCCCTGGAAAAGACCCTGATGTTGGGAAAGATGGAGGGCGCAAGGAGAAGGGGACGACAGAGGACGAGATGGTGGGACAGTGTTCTTGAAGCGACCAGCATGAGGGAGGCAGTGGAAGACAGGAGGGCCTGGCGTGCTCTGGTCCAGGGGGTCACCAAGAGGCAGACACGACTAAACGACAACAACAAATCACGGGTAGAGCAGTGGCTGCAATTTGATGCCCTCTTTCATAAGAACCTCAGAAGAGCCTGACTGCTGAATCAGGCCCAGGGGGCCCTATCTAGTCCAGTCTCCTGTTCTCCCAGGGGCCAAGCAGATGCCCGTTATAGGAAGCCCGGAAGAAGAATTCATAGCGGTGGTTGCTTAATTTTGGGGGAAAGATTCCCTTCCTAAGCATGTGCATCTCCAACCACCCCATCATTCTCGCTCCAGTCCCAAAATACGACCCCATTTACCAGCCGCTCCCAATTCCACAGAAATTGCCTTTAAACAAATTGGTTATATTAAGTTCGAGTTTATCCAGCCTGTGATAAAACGGGAGCTTGTGACTCAACGCGCCGGCGAGGGCGAGAGAGGGGTGGGAAGAGAAGCCCTCGGATAAATGACGAGGTGTTCTGGAAATGATTCACCGGGAGGCTGAATAATTTCGGGTGGTTATTTGTTTCACCGCGAGGACAGCGTCTCTCCAAGCCCTGCCGAACCCGGCACATCGCGTGCCAGAAGATTCCTCCGGTGATCTCTCCAGACTTCTCTCCCCTCATTTTTTGGGAAGAAAGAAAACCTGCAACGGTACATTTTCTGCTGAAGCGAGAGGGGCCATAAACATCTGCATTCCTGCATCACATCATTTTTATGGGAGGAGTAAAATCTACTTAGCAAACAACACAGATTAAGCCTCGCTTCTCGCTCCCGCTCTCTCACCCTCCCACCTCAAGGGTGATTTTTATTTTTTTGTGCTCTCCATCCCTAGTGTCATAATTATGCGTGCCGGGGAGAGGAGATGATCTGTAATTACAGAGGGAGGAAGAAAGAGAGAAATCGCTGCTCAGCTGGGGGGTCCCTGCACTTTGAGAAAGAAACAGGCGACAAAGAGGCGAGTGAGTCAAACGGCATTTGCATAAATCTGCATCTTGCCTCCTTCTACCTGCAAGGAGAGGAAAAGGAAGAATCGTGTTCCTTAAGCTGTAAACTCAGGAGTGGGGAAGGGTCGCATGTGGCCCTCCAGCCCTCTCTATCCGGCCCTTTGAACCCTCCTCAGCCACGCCCCCTCAGACCACGCCCCTCGCCAGCCCTCCTTCCCAGCTGCGTTGAATGCTTTGGCTCTGATATCGCCCCCTGGTGGCCTGCTTGGAAGACACACTGCTGTGGGGCCGGGGATTGGCCTAAAGGTAAAGGTAAAGGGACCCCTGACCATTAGGTCTGGTCATGGCAAACTCTGGGGTTGCGGCGCTCATCTCACATTATTGGCCGAGGGAGCCGGCATACAGCTTCCGGGTCATGTGGCCAGCACGACTAAGCCGCTTGTGGCAAACCAGAGCAGTGCACGGAAACGCCGTTTCCCTTCCCGCCAGAGTGGTACCTATTTATCTACTTGCACTTTGACGTAAAATATGCATTCGTTGCTCCACCCACTTTTGCCTCTGCCCCGCCCATCTCTGCCATGCAGCTCCCGGAAGGTTGGGGGTGGATCTCAGCTCCAAACCGAAAAACATCCTTCACCCTTGCTGTAAGCCAGGCATCCCCAAACTCGGCCCTCCAGATGTTTTGGGACTACAACTCCCATCATCCCTAGCTAACAGGACCAGTGGTCAGGGATGATGGGAACTGTAGTCCCAAAACATCTGGAGGGCCGAGTTTGGGGATGCCTGCTGTAAGCTGTTGGCATGCATGGCTTCTCCAGGGCTTGGACTGAAGTGGGGAAGTTCAGGCTCGGTTCACACGGCAGTTTATCTCAACTTCCTGACCTTCTCCTGTGAATTTCCGCATTGTATCTGAGCTTCCTCTCAATGTTGAAGCTGCTTCTGGAAATCCAGCAGAATCTAGAGCAAGTTTAGCTCTCGTTTCCCTGTTATTTGCAAGCACGTATTTTTTCCCCTTCTTCCTGGAAGCAAATTACACGAACTTGCACTAGGTTCTGCTATATTTCCAGAAGTGGCTTTTATGAACGCTCAAATATAATGTGGAAGTTAGCACTCAGGGAAACCAGAACAAGGTGCCGCGTGAGTGCAGCCTAACAATGGAGGAGGCACATTTTCCAGATTCACGTGGCCGAGACCTGAAAAGGACCATACCAGAATCATGTGGCAAGGACCTCCTTGGGCTGTTTCACTACAGATGACGGCAGGCGCATGGGGCGGTGGGAAGGTCAAATTTTGGAATGCCTCTCATTTTGTTTGTTCCTTTTTAAAAAGCAAAACCCTCTTCTCCCCGCATGTAGACACCCAGCGCATCTGCGGGAAAGCCCCCACTGGCCTGGCTTGCTTTCTCCCTGCAAGGAGCCTCCTTTGCATTCTGGAGCGGAGTCTCATCCCTCGGAGGCCTCTGATATACAGCGCTCATTCTTTCCACTGCCAGCGCTTTTATCGCCTGCTCACTTGAGCGAGTGGATGCTTTATTTTCTGAGCGGAGCCCTCGCTGATCGGCAACAAAAATAAAATATAACACGCATATATATGTGTGGGTGGGTGGGTGGGTGGGTGTGGGTTTTCTTGCAAAATCTCGCAGTCACCTTTGCGGGGGCAGGCGTAAAATGCAGGCATTGGGAAGCTAAAGCTTGATTAAGTCACACAGCCGTCCGAGTAATAGATCGAATGCAGGTCGAATGAGGCTTAGTCCTCATCCCCTCCCCATCGCAAACAAAAATGCCTCAGACGAATGCCCCCATTCCAAGCAGTGTTTGGCGAGTTCAGCGCATCAGATGCTTTGCAGGACCTGTGGTGTCGTGGCCCCACCAGCCAGTGGCAACTGGTGTGTCTGACTGGGACCTGGGAGAGACCAGGGTTCGAATCCTCCACTCAGCCATGAAGCTCACTGGGTGACGTTGGGCTGGTCATACTGACAAGGAGAGTCCACTGGATCAGGCCAATGGGCCACCTCTTCCTGAATCCTGTCCTCACAGTGGCCAGCCAGATCCCTGTGTGAAACCTGCAAGCGGGACCAGGAGCAAGAGCAATTCTCCCCTTCTGCAGTTTCCAGGGATTCAGAAGCCTTGCAACCTCCAACCAACTTGGCTGGCTTTAAAATAAGATTTGAGAACGCTTCTGAATGGCCCCAGGAGGAGACAGGGCTCTTGGGCTCAGGTCCTCCCCCTGGGTTTCTCTTTAGGCCCAGGCATCAGGAGGGAACAGGCTGCTGGGCTAGTTGGCCCCCTCTTGGCCTGATCCAGCAGCCAGGCTCTCCTTAGGTTCTTAGCTGCCCCCCAACCTCAGCCAGCGCCCATCTGCTTGAATAAAATATTGGAGGAGGGAGGCAAGCCCTGCAGAACACAATCGATCACATGACACGGTGCGCACACACCATTTGAATGGCAATGCCCATCCACTCCCAGCCCCCTCAAATATTTCGCTGGGGGGGCCGAAGTCCAGGGGGTGGCGTGGCGGTCTCAGGGTTGCCCCTTTTGGAACTTAGCCGGGAGGAGAATGCAGATGAAACTGGAATTCTTTGGCTCCACTTGTCCTCAGCTCCGGCTGCAGCTACTCTTGCCCTCTTTGCAGTTACTGGGCCCAGATCCGCTCTGCTGCAAGGCAGGGGGAGCTCTCCTGGGCCAGCCGCCTGGAGTCTTGAAATCAGCTCTCCAGGAGGCATTGTAGCTGGCAGCCCTTGAGGCTGGGAAGGAGGAAAGGGAAGTTAATAAAGGCCGCCAGGCTACCTCTAGCAGGTGGAGAGAGAAAGGATTTATTCACACAGAGCAGAGTTCTGTGGAACTCCCTGCCACAGGAGGCAGCGATGGCCAGCAACCTGGGTGGATTTAAAGGAGGATGGGACAAATTCATGGAGGAGGAAAGGGTCACTGACGGATGCTTGCGATGATAGCTATGAGGCAGTGATGCTTCTGAATAATACCAGTTGCTGGAAACTGCAGGAGGGGAGGGGCTCATGCCCTGAGTTTCTGCTTGTGGGTTTCCCTTTTGGTGCATTTGAGGGTCCACTATGAAAACTGGAAGCTGGACTAGATGGGCTATTTGTCTAACCCTGCAGGGCTCTTCTGATGTCAAGAGTTCAGCCTATACTTGAGTAGGACCCTGGCAGAGACACATGCCCGACTGGCATGTTCTCTCCCTCCTGCTCGATCATTCGGGAGCTTCAAAAGCTTTCTTCAGCCCAAACATCACTGACACCGGCACACTTAGGGATCCGCAGAGTTTGTGCATTTCACGTAACAGACCTCAGCAACTGAGCATTTTGGCTAATCTACTTTATTTGCATATAAACACACACAGAGCACTGCAACATGGCTCCCTCTCTCTCTAGCATCAGACAGCAGAGAGAAAAAGAACAAAGGACAATAGTCCCACTTCACAGAACACATGAACACAAACATCCTGTCTCCTTCACTTCCCACTCTGTGGAGTCAAAACATACACCGTCATGGGATTGACAACAATCCCATGACTGCAATCACGGAGCAGAAATTCTAACAATTCACATGTTCTTAAGTTTGCCGTCATGGAACAGAATCAAACCTCCCCCCGCTTGGTTCTTCTGTGGCCCACGCATTTATCCCACTGAGGCTCCCTTTTCAGACTTTCCCAATTTTTGCTGATGTCTTGTTTAGTGTTGAGTGTGAATTGTTGCCTCAATATTCCTGGGCCCGCAGGGGCCCTCAAAAAGTCTCTGAAACGGCAAAAATGCCAAGTGCCAGGAAGACTGACGGCCGCTGCGCAGGCCCCCGGGGGGTGGCTGGAAGAATTCATCACAGCAGAGCTTAGATCTTGCCCGGTTCACACAGATGAAGTCCTGACCTTTCTGGCTCTTTGCCCATCGAGGGAGCGGCAACAGGTCGGCCTCGCTCAGAGCGTGTGGAACAGAAAGGATTGATTGCAGTTCATCTATAAAATGCAAGGGCGGAGGAAGAAAATTGATCCCTTTTGCACTGGAAGATGAACCTGCCTAATCTGCACTTTCCCAAACAATATGGGAACTGAAAATGCACTGAATCATAGAGTCAGAAGGGACACCAAGGGTCATCTAGTCCAACCCTCTGCAATGCAGGAACCACAGCTCAGAATGCCTGGCAGATGGCCGTCTGACTTATGCCTTAAAATGTCCACCAGCTTCTGATGTAGTCTGTTCCACTGTCAAACAGCTTTTAGTGTCAGAAAATTCCCAGATGGGTGGGGTATAAATAATAAAATTATTACTATTATTATTATTCCTAATGTTTAGATGGAATCGCCTTTCTTGTAATTTGAAAGAATTTGCACTTCCCCAAATTTTGAAGCATAGTTCTCCAGGTAAGCAATGTCTATATTAATAAACAGATTAGGGCAAATTGTGGATTTAAAATTCATCCACATTAGTGAAAATAACATACAAAAGAATATATTGCCTTCAGGGGGAATTGCTTTGCAAAAAATGTGTCTATTAGGCAAAATTGTACATGTGCCTATTAGGAGCAATTTGCACTCAAACATTGGTGACTTTTCATGGGGACTATAATTTAGAAAGGAAAACGATCTGCGTCACCCTATTGAGGAAGACGAGGGGGCTCCTGCTCAGTTTGCTCTCCCAGCAGCCAGCAAACTTCAAGGTCGCTCTTCTCATCTCCCTACATTTTTAAAATCTGGGCTTGGATGAGACATCTCCTCCGACAGAGGGGGCTTTGCTTGGCCTCTGTGAGAAGAAGATGCTGAACTGGGGTGGGGGGTCTTTGACCAGGTCAAGTAACAGGGGTCTTGCGCTCTCAAGTGTTTTCACTTTGCACCAGTCGTCAGCAGGTTGTAAATGCAGTATTGATGGGCACAGGCTGCCACCTCGTGGCTAAATGGCACATTGTGCAACAAATGATATCCAGTACGTAATAGAGAACATGGATCCCCAAAAAGGGACCCTTCCCAATTTGGGAATAATAGAATTGTAGAGTGGGAAGGGAGCCCTGCCAGCTGCAAGCCAGGAATCACAACTGAAGAATCCCTGGCAGACATTCAAGCTCTGCTTCAATACATCCAATAAGTCAGATGATGCTGCTGCTTTTATTTGTACCTCTGGGTTTTCCCAGCCACTCTGGCGAAGGAGAAATGCTTGATGATGATGATGATGATGAAGGAGAGATGCCTTATTTTTCTGAAATTAATATGTACCTTCTCATCTACTGAATCTGAGACTTTGAGAAATTTGTCTTAGATTAAAAGTGATTAAAATATTGTAGATATTTGTTAGCATGTAACTGAGCTGTGTTGCAAAGGCCATGTGCAGAAGGAATCCTATTGCATTACCTGTAGTTACAATGAAAGAGATTTGGTGTTTGTGGACACGTGTGTGTGTTGTTGTTTAGTCGTGTCCGCCTCTTGGTGACCCCCTGGACCAGAGCACACCAGGCCCTCCTGTCTTCCACTGCCTCCCTCATGCTGGTAGCTTCGAGAACACTGTCCCACCATCTCGTCCTCTGTCGTCCCCTTCTCCTTGCGCCCTCCATCTTTCCCAACATCAGGGTCTTTTCCAGGGAGTCTTCTCAGGAGGTGGCCAGAGTCTTGGAGCCTCAGCTTCAGGATCTGTCCTTCCAGTGAGCACTCAGGGCTGATTTCCTTCAGAATGGAGAGGTTTGATCTTCTTGCAGTCTATGGGACTCTCAAGAGTCTCCTCCAGCACCACAATTCAAAAGCACCCATTCTTCGGCGATCAGCCTTCTTGATGGTGTGACCACACATATCCCCGTGCATTTATAATGGCATTTAATCCCGCCCCCCGTAACACCATCCACAGCGCCCTCGCCCTCCACGAATCTGTCCTCTTTTAAAGCCATCCAGACTCTCGTGGCAGGAAGTTCCCCAGTTTAACGATGCGCCTCCATGAATAGCGACTGTCCTTTGTCTTTTACAACGATGTTTTTGAAACCTTGAAGACCGACAACATTTGGCAGCAAGAAGCGGAAATTCCAGGACCGCCTTTCCCAAACGATGCCTTATGAGGAACGGCTAAGGGAGCTGGGCATGTTTAGCCTGGAGAAGAGGAGGTTAAGGGGTGATATGATAGCCATGTTCAAATATATAAAAGGATGTCACATAGAGGAGGGAGAAAGGTTGTTTTCTGCTGCTCCAGAGAAGCGGACACGGAGCAATGGATCCAAACTACAAGAAAGAAGATTCCACCTAAACATTAGGAAGAACTTCCTGACAGTAAGAGCTGTTCGACAGTGGAATTTGCTGCCCAGGAGTGTGGTGGAGTCTCCTTCTTTGGAGGTCTTTAAGCAGAGGCTTGACAACCATATGTCAGGAGTGCTCTGATGGTGTTTCCTGCTTGGCAGGGGGTTGGACTCGATGGCCCTTGGGGTCTCTTCCAACTCTAGGATTCTATGATTCTATGATTCTAAACTTGGCCCTCCAGCTGCTCTTGGACTACAACTCCCATCATCCCTCGCTAGCAGGACCAGCGGCCAGGCATGATGGGAACTGTAGTCAAAACCCCACCGCGGGCGACCCCGCCACGTGCAGCGCCGGCCTGCCTCCCCCTCGCGGCCCAATGGGGCGACCCGACGCGCAGGAGGCGGGTTTGTGGGCGCGTCGTCATAGCAACTCCAGTCGGTCGCCCGCGGGGTTGGGCGGGGCGAGCAGCCAACCAATGGGGATTCAGTATCCAAGCGACCGGCTAGGCCCGCGAGGGGGCGCATGCGCGCTTTGCTTTGCCAGCAGCTTGGCCCCGTTCCGCCTTCCTTCTCGCCCCGCCGGGAGAAGCGCCCCGGGAGAGAGGGGAAGTCTCGCGAGAGGAGGAGAGACGGAGAGGGAGGAAAGAAAGGCGCGTGGCGCGGGACCGGAAGTGGGACTGCCCCGCCCCCTGGCGGCCTTTCCGGTTCCGGGTGAGCGGCGGCGGCGGCGGAGCCCCGGCGGCAGGTGAGGCGGGCGAGGCGGGCCGGGAGGGGCCTTTCCCCCGGGGACGGGAGTCCCGCTTCTGCCCGCCCCGTCGGACCCGCCGGCCTTAGAGGAGGGAGGCTGGGAAGCCGGGGCGGGGCGGGGCGGGCGGGGGGTTGCGCTGGATGCCCTTTGGGGGCCCCTTCCCCCTCTCCCGTGGCCCCGAGGGCGGGACTGGGGGCTGCCCTTCCTTCCCCCTCCCTGCCGAGGAGCCTGGTGAGCTCAGCCCATGTCACAAACCCGCCTCTCCAGCCCCGCCAGGCCAATCCCGGGGCGCAGTGGGGCTGAGCCGGGTAGGTGGGGGGGAGGAGGGCGTCTCTTTGCTCCCACAGCAGCGCCCCCCCTTGGCCAGGCCGCCCCCGGGGAGGCTGGGAGGGGAGGGTCTCTGCCTGGGACCCGGAAGGGACCCCCAAAGGTCATCAAGTACCATCTCCAGCAGCGGGGCCGCACCCCTTCTCCCTTCATAGCACCCCAAGAGCGAGCAGGGAAGCCTTGCCCAGTGGATTGGGGAATACGTTTCGTCTCCAGTTGCTGCCTGGCCGCTCAGGATCTTGCAGTTGCAGGAGGAGGAGGCTTCACAGTGGGCGCCAGGCGGGGGAGGCTGGCACAGGGTGGCATTACGCTTCCTGGGTGGGTGGGTGATGGAGGCCACCTGAACAGGAACCAGGGAGGCTGCCTTGTATCAAGCCAGAGCAGCTGCTTATTTTTCTGCGCTGACGGGCAGCAGGGGCTCTCCAGGGTTTCAGACAGGAGTCCTTTTTCCCAGCCCTACCTGGAGGTGACACCTAGGATTGAACCTCAGATATTCTGCATCTGAAGCAGGGGCTCTGCCCACCGAGCAGATAAAATGAGAACAGCTGAAAACATGGGGGGGGGGTCATTAAAAAACAATTAAATATTAAAAGAATTCAACTTTTTATGGCAAGATTCCGGTCCTCGTGGCTCTGGACTGAGTTAACCCCTGAGTAGCTCTGCAGTTTGGTTTCCAGTAACCTCCGGAGCAAACATCCTGAACATAAGTCAGCGTGGGTTAGAACCCTAACCCCCCGAATGCTGGAAATTCACCCTGTCCCTCCCCATCTCTCTCCCCAGCCTTGTTAGCATGTGGACATGTCCAGCATCGCGCCCCTCGCGGCCTCTCTAGAGCAGTGCCCGCTTGCTGGCCTCTCCTCCTCGTGGTCCCGGTTCGTCCATGGAGGAGGGCACCATGTCGGATCTCCTTCTCAACCTGGACACGTCCCTCCCTGCGCAGCCCAAGAAGGCCTCTGAGGGGAACCAGAAGCACCAGCGGTTCATCAAGCGCCGGCAGTTCCTGGAGCGGAAAGGCTTCCTGAAGCAGAAGCAGCTCCCCGGGCAAGCCCCACTGCCGCGGTGGGATGCCTCTCAGAAGCACGGCGGGGCAGACTGTGAGCGGGACAGAAAGAGGCCGAAAGTGGACAAAAAGGGGGCGTCCGCCGGGCAGGACAGGAAGCCTCTGCGGGAGGACAGCTCGGCCCACAGGACCAAGACATTTCCCAAGGAGAAGGCCGCCCGCGGGGCTAAGGACTCTGGGTCCCAGGGAGGCAATGCCTCTGGGGGTGCCACAGCCTCGAGCAAAGCAGGGAGCACTGCGGGGGGTGGTTCCTCTGTGAGGCACAACGGGGCGCAGGCCAACGGGGCCGCGGGCGAGATCCGGAGGGTGGCCCTGCTGAGCGAGTTTGAGAGCGGGCTGTCGCCGGTGCTGCTGCCGCCCAAGCCCAACAAGGTGGTGGCCATTGACTGTGAGATGGTGGGCACGGGCCCCGGCGGGCGCGTCAGTGACTTGGCGCGCTGCAGCGTGGTCAGCTACCACGGCGACGTGATGTACGACAAGTACGTGCGGCCCCTCAGCCCCATCACCAACTACCGGACGCGCTGGAGTGGCATTCAGAGGCACCACATGAAGAACGCCGTCCCCTTCAAGGTGGCCCAGAAGGAGGTGAGTGAGGGGGAAGATCTGGCAGCCTCTCAGGGGGAGCCTTTAGGGATCCCCCTGCCCCACACAAGGTTTTCCATGTTTTCATTAAAACCAAGGCAGTCTGTATTTTTATTCTGGCATCTGGTTGAGGCATTTGGCCTAGCAGCTCTTACTCTCTTCTTATGGAACCTCAAGGTCCAGAGGCAGTCTATCTGGATTCCTAGGTTCTATGGGGTATTTGGCCACAGTGACAACAGGATGCTGGACTAAGGAAGGAGCCCTTTGGCCTCATCCTGTTGCAGGGCTCTTCTTTTATATCCTCTTATGGGTGAAGTAAGGGACGCGGGTGGCACTGTGGTCTAAACCACAAAGCCTAGGACTTGCCGATCAGAAGGTTGGCGGTTCGAATCCCCATGACGGGGTGAGCTCCCATGGCTCGGTCCCTGCTCCTGCCAACCTAGCAGTTAGAAAGCACGTCAAAGTGCAAGTAAATAAATAGGTACCACTCCGGCGGGAAGGTAAACGGCGTTTCCGTGCACTGCTCTGGTTCGCCAGAAGCGGCTTAAGTCATGCTGGCCACCAGCTCCTTCGGCCAATAAAGCGAGATGAGTGCCGCAACCCCAGAGTTGGTCACGACTGGACCTAATGGTCAGGGGTCCCTTTACCTTTATGGGTGAAGTGGGTCAGACTGCAGCTACGATGTCTTTGTGGGTCTGCATCCTGCTGTGCTTGACTGGCTACAGCAGGCTTCCTCAAACTCTTCCCTCCAGAAGTTTTTGACCTACAACTCCCATGACCCCAGCTAGCAGGACCAGTGGTCAGGGATGATGGGAATTGTAGTCTCAAAACATCTGGAGGGCCGAGTTTGAGGAAGCCTGGGCTACAGGTTGAGTCTTGAGCTATTGAGCGCTGACTGATGACATCCCTCCCCCTCCCTGCCTTTCAGATCCTCAAGGTCCTCTCTGGGAAGATAGTTGTGGGCCACGCCATCCACAATGACTTCAAAGCCCTCAAGTATTTCCATCCCAAGTCGCTGACCAGGGACACCTCGAAGAACCCTCTGCTCAACCGCAAGGCCGGCTTCCCGGAGAACGAGCAGGCCTCCCTGAAGCGCCTCACCAAGCAGCTCCTCCACAGGGACATCCAGGTAACACCCCCTGCCTTGTCCGTCTGCTCTCCCCCCCAATCTGGCTCAGTGTTGCCTACACTGGCTGGCAGCCAGCTCTTTGGAGAAAGGCCCAATGACAGTGTCTTGGCAGACTTCCTTTTCAAGAGTCCCTCCTCTTGGCTGGCTGTAGTTGTTGTTATTATTTATTAAATGCATTGCTTGATTTTTCTTGCCGAAGGCAATTCAGTTGACACAAGATAATATCACCAAGGCAACTATCAGTAAACAAACCATAAACGTCCATAAAAATGGCAAAAGTAGTTTCTTTCCCAAATAGGTTTTATCATAAATAATAGCAAATGCGGTAAATAAAGAGTTGACTTGAAAGTGGTTCACTTGTTGGAGGAAGTTTAACAAACTGAAGGTCATCGTCCTCTTTCCTGATGGAAACATGCAGATAGGGAAAGATACAACCCTGCTTTAAGTTGTTTCCATACTCTCTTCTCTTGTACGGTACATTATTTACTACAAAGCTCCGTGACTTTGTTACTGTGTTTGCAGTTGCTCAAGATACAACCTGTTGTGGGGGGAAGCTACTTTTGCCATTATTATGGATGGACGTTTAGAGTTTGTTTACAGATAGTTGCCTTGGTGATATTATCTTGTGTTGATTGTAGTAGTCATTGTATCACCACCCTGTTCATTGTTTTAAAGTAAATTCAAAGCAGCGTGCAACCAAGTAAACAAGCAAAAACCCACATAGTTCCATTACAAAAAACACCTCATTAAAACAGATTTTAAAACACCCCACCCACCCTAAAAGGCCAGACAGAGGAAAAAGGCCTGGTTAAAAAGGAAAGCTTTAACCAGGCACTTAAAGATACAGTACTGTATATAATGAAGGTGCCAAGTGAGCCTCCCTGGGGAGAGCATACCATGAACTGGGAGATACCACAGAAAAGGCCCTGCTGTTGTGTTGCCACCCTCCAGACATTGAGGAGGCTCTCAAAGAAGGGCCTCAGATGACAATTGCAGGGTCCAGGTCAGTTCATATGCATCAAAAAGCTCACACCATTGTTTCCTTGAGCCTGGAGAGAAAAAGGTTGCGGACAATGACCAAGAGGAGCTTTTCCAAATCTGTTTGTGCCATCTGTCCGTGCAGTTTTTAGACCCGCCCCCCCCCCCCCGACACAGCAGGAGCAGGAGTAGCCCCTGTGGCTCCCTCCAGGCGGCTGCTACACTACAGTTCCCATCACCCCTGCCCATTGGGCCGTGGTGGTACCAGGGCTGGTGGGAGACGGAGTCTGGCAGCATCTGGAAGGCCACTGAGGAGCAGAGTCCCCTGGCCTTGGAGGAGATCCGGCATTTGATTTAATATTGAACTCTGAGCAGCTCACAGTAGCAGCTGAAAAGAACAGCAAATACTGCAGTTGCTGTAAGCTCAAAACACAGTAGCGTATAAATAAAGCAGGCAACCAGAGCAAATCCTTTGAAACAATGCAATTCTATAAATTTATAGTGAGCTGCAGTATAAAGGTAAAGGGACCCCTGACCGTTAGGTCCAGTCGTGGCCGACTCTGGGGTTGCGGCGCTCATCTCGCTTTACTGGCCGAGGGAGCCGGCGTACAGCTTCCGGGTCATGTGGTCAGCATGACTAAGCCACTTCTGGCGAACCAGAGCAGTGCACGGAAACGCCGTTTACCTTCCCACCGGAGTGGTACCTATTTATTTACTTGCACTTTGATGTGCTTTTGAACTGCTAGGTGGGCAGGAGCAGGGACCGAACAATGGGAGCTCACCCTGTCGCGGGGATTCAAACTGCCGACCTTCTGACCGGCAAGCCCAAGCGGCTCAGTAGTTTAACCCACAGCACCACCCACGTCCCTATTCTGCAGTATAAAAGGGACCATTTTATCTTGTCCCCAAAGAGCAGAAGTTCCCTTGAGTGACTCCAGAGCCAAGCTGCTGTGCACCTCTCTCTTTATCTGGGCACCTTTTCCCAGTATCCTAGAATTGTAGGGTTGGAAGGAACCCACAGGGGTCATCTAGCCCAACCCCCTGTAATGCAAGCATCCCTGACCAGGGGGCCAGCCAGCCCCTGCTTTGAGACCGCCAAGGAAGGAGAGCCCACCCCCTTCCGAGGGGGCTCTTACCCACAGAAACTCTTTTTCTGTAACTTGAATCCCTCGGTTTGGGTCCTGCCCTCTGTCTTCCATGGGGCAGCCCTTGAGGTATTTGAAGATGGCTTTGTGTCCTCTCGCTTTGTGAGGGGTCAGAGAGATGTGACCCCTGCCCTCATCTTCCTCTTTCCTTCCTTCTTTCCTTACACCCCCCCCCAGGTGGGGAACAAAGGCCACTCCTCAGTGGAAGACGCCCGGGCCACCATGGAACTGTACAAGGTGGTGGAGGACGAGTGGGAGAGGCAACTGGCCACCTCTCCTCAGGACTGATCCCCAACTCCAGTCGCCACCAAGCCTTGGAACCCGGAGTCGCTGGGGGAAGCCGACACTCCCCTCCCTGCCCCCCGAGCTGCTTGGAGGAGGATGTTGACGGGTCCATGGGGCAGAGGGAGAGGAGGGCCGGCAGAGTGAAGGAACTGACGGGGGGCAGGGGAGGGGAAGGAGGCAAGTGTGTCCATTACATCGCTTCCATCTGACGGCAGCCTGGGCGTGTTCCTCCCCTTCCTCTCTGTAACGGTGCTGAGCCTCCTTCCCTCTCGGCTTGAACCTCAGAGGGAGGGCGGCCTCCTCACCCTCCCTGGCAGGGGGGCTTTCAACATGGTGCTATCCACTCCCCAGGCCCCGGTGGCTGTGGGGCTCGTGTGCTGTTGGAGTTGAGCGCCAACCTTGGCCGGTGGATCTTTGGTGACCCCCCTCCCCGCCTCTGCGGTGGCGCAGGGAGGCTGGCTTCCTGCCCCCACCCTCTTAAAAGGGCGGGGGGGCACTCAGTTCCCTAGCTTGACTTCTGTGGGTCTCCCCTCTCCCTTGCCAGGTGATGGGGGGCCCCCCCATGCACTTGGTGATCTTGAGCTCCCCTCTGCCGCCTCCTCCTTGGCCCCACCCCCTCCCTCGGGGGTCAAGGAAGCCCCCCTGTGTGGACGGTGACCCCCTTGGGTTCTTGTTGGCGGGGGGTGTCGGTCTCTCCCTTCCTCTTCCCACTTTCTCCACATCCTTCATAATCTCTCATTATTCTCCTTAAATCTCTTTCCTGCTCTCCACCAGCAGGTCCCCGGGTGGGTTGCACCAATGAAAAACACAAAACAGTTTGCAATCCCAGGAACATCCCCCTGCCCCTCCCCACTTGGGCCCCCTAAACTTAGAAGACGAAAACCCCCGGAACATTTACGCAGGAGGAGCAGGTGCCTTCTGCCCTATGGTCTCTTCCTGGTGGAGATGTGGGGCTGGGGGAAGGAATACAGTTGTACCTCGGGTTACAGACACTCCAGGTTACAGATTCCGCAACCCCAGAAATAGTACCTTGGGTTAAGAACTTTGCTTCAGGATGAGAACAGAAATTGTGCAGCGGCAGCGGGAGGCCCCATTAGCTAAAGTGGGACCTCAGGTTAAGAACAGTTTCAGGTTAAGAACGGACCTCCAGAATGAATTAAGTTCTTAATCCGAGGTACCACTGTATCTCTGTTCCCCTTGAGGGGAAGGGGGGCGTTGCACACGCGCCCACACCCTGCGCCTTATGGCACCCAGAGCCTGCGAATGCCCCCCAGAGAGAGTGGAGGCCCCGTGGGTGTTGGCCCATAGCGCCCCCTGCAAAGCATCCCCTTCTCAGCTCGGCAGGCGTTGGGGTCCTGGCTGGGACATCCTCAAGGTCAGGATGGGTAGGATCCTGCCCAGACGAGCTTTGCCTGTTCTGTCTGGGCCCCCTGGACTGCAGCTCCCATCAGCCGCAGCATCAGAGGCTTGTTCTGGCCCCAGAGCTGGAGCCTCCCAGGCTCTGAAGGACACCGGGTTGGCCAAGGGCTGGTCTAGGGCGCAGGGCTCTCTGCAAAGGGCAGGCATCCCTCCCCTTTTGATTTGCAGAGGCTCCGCTTTCCCCCTTCCTTCCTCTTAATACCTCCAGCTGCACCATCAGAATGAATGGAGCATTCCTGGAGCACAAAGTTCCCATCCTTGAAGAAACCACAATGGTAAACACTGGGCACATTTTCTCATTCTGATGCTGAAAATTCCCTGGAACACCGTGACCCCCCCTTGCCCCCCTGCGTCCCAAAAGTGGCTCCATCGCTGTGTCTTGGCCAGTGAGTGTCTCATTCTGTCACTCTCTGTCTTCTCTCTGGTGCTGTTTCCCACCAAGTGACCATGAAGCAAGAAGGTCACCTTGCTGTTGTGACGCAACGTGTGTTTGTGTGTGTCTTTCTGGGAAGAAGAGGGAGCCCCAAAGCACATTGCTTTTAATGAGATACCGAAAAGGTGTTAAGGTTTGTTTTCCCATCTCCCCCCACTGATAAAAAAAGAACAACTTTCCAAAGGTCCTTCTCTCTTGCCTTTGGCGCAGCCTCTGTCCCTCCCGGGGTTTGGGTTTCTGTGCCCCTTCCTCCTGGGCTCTTGGGGACTCGCCACAAAGGGGCGTTCGCAATCTACCAAGTGGGCCTCCATGGAACTCCTAATTTATTTTAAACAAACTTTATTGAACATTTTAAAAACGGTTGCCAAACGTATTGTGTTTTCCCCACGGAAATCTTTGATGCGGATCCTTTGCAGCAGTCTCAGAAAGATTCCTCGCGAGCAGTTTTAAAGCGAGCATCTTTTTAAAACAAAGACAAAAAATGGAAGAATAATTTTTAAAAACCACCCGCGCAGGAAATAGATTTCCTACATAGAAGCCCACACACACTCTGCAAAAAAAACTTACTTATTCCATTTGTGTTAATGCTGGTAATTATGAACGGGCGTGTGTTCTGTCTGTGCTTGGGATTGTTTTGTCTTTTTCTAAAAAAGTAAAATATTTCACTTACTGGCTGTCTTGAGACCTGTGTGCTTGCGTAGGCATGGCAGGGGGAAGGGGCCTGATCCAAAGAGCCGCTGTATCTGAAGATCATGAAAAGAGCTCTGCAGCTGGATCAGGCCAAAGGGGACCTGCCCATTATGGGAAGTCCACACGATGGACCCGAGTGCGAGAGCAGCGCTCTCCCTGCCTTTTCCAGCAACTGCCTCTGACATTGGAGGCAGGACATAACCCACCAAGGGGAGTAGCCTTCAATAGCCCCCTCCTCCTCCGTGAATTTGTCCAGCCCTCTTCTAAAGTTGGGGGCCATCACTGCCTCCTGTGGCAGGGAGTTCCGCAGTTTGTGGAAAGAAGTCCTTTCTTTTCTCTGTCCTGAATCTTCACAAGGTTCAGTGTGATGAGAGAGGGAGGAAAACCTTTCTCCCTGCATTCTCCATGTCGTCCTTACACGGCATCGTACCACCTGCAGGATTGCCACACGAAGCATCATCGTTGTTTTATTGAATTTTGGCTCGTTGGTTTTCCACTTCCTCAGATCTTGGGAGCTTCCAGGGGGCCCTGAGGAGGTGGTGGGTGAATCATAGAATCATAGAGTTGGAAGAGACCACAAGGGCCATCGAGTCCAACCCCCTGCCAAGCAGGAAACACCATCAGAGCACTCCTGACATATGGTTGTCAAGCCTCTGCTTAAAGACCTCCAAAGAGGTGGCAGTCTCTGCGGGACCCTCTCCCTGGACACCCAACCCCAAGCAGCCCCTTGCGTATCTCATGCAAGAGACCTGCATCTTGAACCATCGAGTCCCAAGGTGCTCCAGGACAGCAAGTGATGCAGATGGCAGCCATGAAAAGAGCCAAGTTGCTTTGGCCTGCGAGTCCCTCCAGGGCTGGGCCTCCAATCCTGGCCAGAGGAGTGAACATCTCCCTGGAGAGATTGAACCTGCTCACCCAGAGGGATCAGCTTCCCTGGAGTGCAGAGGCAAAAGGGAAAGGTTCTTTGCAAGGCCTCTGGCCATCCAGCTCCCTGCATTTCCACTCCCCCCTTTTATCCAGAACCACAAGGACTAGAACCCTGCTTTGTTTTTGGCGGAGGGGCTGTCGCCCTGCTCAGCCAGCAGTGGCTGTGGCTCTTGCACCCTGAGGGGTGTGCGTTGTGGCTTTGGCGGTTGGTGCAGGCCTGGTGCCTTCTTTGCCACCGGGGGAGCTGCAGGGCCAGCCTTCGTTGCATCGTTCTGCAGGCCAAGTGGGGGTCCGCTGCATCAAAGGCAGGGCTGGCTGCTTGTGGCCTCCATGGGCGAGAAGGTGAGCGTGTGTGTGAAAGAGATGCGTGCACAGCTTCCAAGTGAGCCTGGAGCTGGGGCTGACTTCAAAACAAAGCCCACCTCTCCATTCAGTTGGGGAAGGGGAGGAATGTGCTGTGGCCCACCAGGGCTGGGAGAGACGAAAGCTTTTAAAGGTGAAATATGGCCTCTGTCTTGGGATTGAGGGTGAGAGCCCAGCCAGTGGGCCTCTTGTGATGAATCTGTCGCTCGGGGCTCGTTCGGATTTGCTCTTTGTGTGGCCTCCCCACCTCCTCTCTCTTTCTTCCTTTAAAAATACTTCTCGCCTGTCTTAATGCAAATCAGAGAAGGAGAGGAGGAGGAGCCAGTTTCTAGGAACATCAGCAGAACCTGGCTGCTGGATCAGGCCAGTGGCCAGCATCCTGTCCTCACAGGGGCCAGATGCCCCCAAGAACCTAGGAGTGGAGATAGACTGCCTCTGGACCTGGAGATTCTCTAAGAACAAGAGAAAAGCCTGCCTGTTGGGTTGGCCGAATGGCCCATCAGCCCAGCATCCTCTCCTCACAGTGGCCAACCCGATGCCTGTGGGACTTGAGCGCAAAGGCAACTCTCCCCTCCTGTGGTTTTCAGAAACTTACTCAGAAAGATTGCCACCTCCCACGGTGCAGGCAAGTCGCCTTCGATGGCCCTCTCCATGAATTCTTCCTAATCCACTTTGGTCCCAAAATTTCAGTTTCCTCATCCTTTTAAATCCGGGGGTGTCTTTTGCTGCGCTTGCCCCGGTGTGGAGTGTTTATACCATTTAGCTATTTATAACTTTGTCATAACACGAAGCTCTCCCCTCTGTTTGCTTTTGCTCGGCTCTCTGCGTTTCGATAATTAAGGAACGGCCGTCGGAGGAATGGGCCCGGTTGTATTTTCTTCCACTGCCTCCCTTTATACATAAATAACCTGTCAGTTCTGACAGGGCTGCTCTGGCCCAGAGACCAGCCGCAACCCCCACCCTCTCGCTCCCAGGCTTGCCAAGACGGGCCCCGATTCGGAAGGAGCCTGGGGCAAACTTCGAGAGAGGAGGGTTGAGCAATGCCCCGAAACACAGAGATGAAGAAATGGGTCCACGGCAGTTAAGCTGTGTCTGTCTGTCGGTCTATCTGGCTTGACTGCACAGGGAAGCCTGTTGTCTTTGTTCACTGGAGGAAAGACCAAAGCTCAGTGGTAGAGCACCTGCTTGGCCTGTAGAAGGTCTCGGGTTCAATCCAGAGCGGGGGAGGAGTCCTGCTATCTAAAGCACCAGAGAGCCACTGCCAAGGAGTGTGGGCAGTACCAAGCGAGATGGTTTGAGCCGCGGTGAGCAGCTCCCCACTCCTGCCTTTTATTCAGAACCATGAGGACTAGCACCCTGCTTTATTTTCAGTGGCAGAGCATCTGCTTTGCGTAAAGGGAGGTCGTAGGGTCAGTCCCTGCTGGTGTTTCCAGGTAATGGCAGCCATGTCGCCTTCTCTGAACCCCTGGAGAGCCAGCGTGGGCAACGTATAGCCAAGCAGACCCAGGGGACCTGGCTCTCCATGGGGCACCTGCCAGTCTGGATGTGCAGGATCCCATGGTGGGGCCTCGTCCCTGAGCTCCTCTGCTTGGGGTGGCGACCAGGGGTTGGCCTTCCAGGATTCCAGTGGCCCCAAGGATGTTCGGGGGCGAGAGGCCGGGTCCTCCTGGGGGCCTCGCCACAATTCTGGCACCCAAACCTTGTGACACGTCACATGAATTTGGGAGAGACTGGGCTGCAGGCCTCACACCTCTAATGTGCCGTTTCCCACGCTGCTCCAGGGACGGGATGATGATGATAATTTATTATTTGTACCCCGCCCATCTGGCTGGGCTTCCCCAGCCACTCTGGGCGGCTTTCAACAAAATATTAAAATACATCAAACATTAAAAGCTTCCCTAAACAGGGCTGCCTTCAGAAGTCTGCTAGTAGTTCTCTTTGACATCTGCTGGGAGGGCGTTCCGCAGGGCGGGCACCACCACCGAGAAGGCCCTCTGCCAGGTTCCCTGTAACTTCATTTCTCACAGCGAGGGATCCGCCAGAAGGCCCTTGGCGCTGGACCTCGGTGTCCGGGCAGAATGATAGGGGTGGAGATGCTCCTTCAGGTCTACTGGGCCTTTGAGGCCGTTTAGGGCTTTAAAGGTCAGCACCAACACTTTGAACTGTGCTCGGAAACGTACTGGGAGCCAGTGTAGGTCTTTCAAGACCGGTGTTATGTGGTCTCGGCGGCTGCTCCCAGTTACCAGTCTAGCTGCCGCATTCTGGATTAGTTGTAGTTTTCGGGTCACCTTCAAAGGTATGTGACGTGGAGAATCTTGGAGCCTCAGAAGAGGCTGCTGGATCAGGCCAGGGGCCCATCTAGCCCAGCTTCCCAGGAGCCAGCCAGGTGCTCCCAAGGGAAACTGGAGCAGGATCAGAGCACAAGAGCCAGACACTCCTCTCCTGCCGTTTCCAGCAAGGGGGATTCAGAAGCGTCATTGCTACGTCCAGCTGAGGGCGCAGAGCATGGGCCTCATGGCTGGTGGCCAGCAGTAGCTTCTCCCTCGATTTGTTGCAGCGAGGCCCCCCTCCAGTGGAGCCGGACCCTCACCCAAGGAAGGACAGAGGCTTGGGGAGGGGAGTCCCCCAGGCCACTTCTCCCTGTGACAGGGGGCCTCATTATTTTCTTGTTCTCCTTCCTCTCTGGGCTGTGGGCTTTTTGTACTGACAGCAGCAAGGCTGTCCCTTTGCCTTGAAAGCAACGTCTGCAGGCTGCAGCCTCTGGCCAGGGGCTCAAGGGCCCCCAATTCTCTCTCTCTCTCTCTCTCACGCCCTGGGATGGTTGAGGCAGGGCGGGTGGGAGTACTCGGGTTTTTTGAAAAAAGAGACATGTTTTAAGAATTTCCTGGCAAGGCGCTTTGCTGACTCAGGGCTTCCTCATCAGCACCTCATTTGTTCCAAAGCAATAATGGGATGACACGGCTGAACCCTGGTACCTAATAAATACGCGGAGCAGGGACTGCGGGGGGGCCCCCTTGTGCAGTGTTTGGAGGAAAGGAGAGGGAGGGGAGGCAGGATGGAAGTTTGCAAAATGGTGCACTGCATGGATAAAGAAATGATATCCCACCCTGCGTTCCATAACATAAGAGCTGGTATTGGAAGGATTATGACGAATAAAAGGAATGACTTCTTCCTGCAGCGTAGAGTTAACTTGTGGAACTCCCTGCCACAGGAGGCAGGCAGGGCCACCAGCTTGGATGGCTGCCAAAGAGCATGAGCTGTGCTGGCTGCTGGGAGCTGCAGGTCAGCCTTGCCCAGAGGGGGCTGTGTGGGCCGGCTCTGCTGTAGAGCCACTGCCTGGCGAAGGGCCCAGGAGCAGCCCCCGCCAGCAGCCCCTGCAGGTAGGGCTGGGAGAGAGCCCAGGAGGGCTGCTGCCGGTCAGTGCAAGCAATGCAGAGCTGGCTGGACCAATGATCCGACTCTGTACGAGGCAGCGTCCTGGCGCAGAGTCTGGATCAAACAGTCACAAAGAAAAGACCACAAGCCTTTAGAGGAAGGGAAACGCACAACATCTGGAGTTGGTGCTTTTGCTGTGTATCCTTCATTGCAGAAGGTTGGACTAGATCAGGCATCCCCAAACTCGGCCCTCCAGATGTTTTTGGGACTACAGCTCCCATCATCCCTAGCTAACAGAACTAGTGGTCAGGGATGATGGGAATTGTAGTCCCAAAACACCTGGAGGGGCGGGGTTGGGGATGCCTGGACCAGATGACCCTACCACTCCAGGATCAGGCCCTCCTGCCAGGAGGGGAAAAGCTGTCTTAATCGTTGGTTGCCGTTCTGTAGACTCTTGTTAAGCTTTCTGGTGTGATTCAAAAGGTTTTCTCCTGCCGTCTCCCAAGTCAGCACACAATCCTGCCTTCCCATCAGGGCAAAATGCCATCTTCGCTGAAGCCATTAATTTGAGCTGTTAGGGGTTTAAGAAGAGCGCCATGTCACAATGCTTAATATTTCTGCATCTGTCAGCAAGTCCTGCACTAAATCCGTGTGCCGAGCCCAGAGCAGTCTGCAAGTTGCCCAGAAATCTCTCTCTGGTGGGTTTAAATGCCCAGGGAAGCTTATTGCGTTTCAATTTCAAACGTTCCTTCATAACATTGAGGACTAGAATCCTACTTGCTTGGGTGGCTCAAGGGAACAGGGCCTGCTTGGCATGCAGAAGGCCCCAGCATCTCCCGGCGGGGCTGGGAATGCTCCCTGCCTGAATCGCTGGAGAGCCCTTGCTACCAGTCAGTGCAGACAGTGCTGGCCTGGCAGCTGCAGAGGCTGCCTTTTGCCCTCGCTCCCCGTGAGCCTCCCAGGCCCCTTTGCCAAAGGGATGCGTCTCGCCCTCTTTTGTGTGTTCGTTGGGGGCGGTTAAAGGCAAAGAAGAAATGAGAGTAACGACTTCCTCCCTCGTTACTGAAACGGGAAGTCATTAAAACAACTGAAGAAATACTCCAGAGCATAAAAATGATGTATGGGCATGCCATGGCCAGGCACAAATCTCGCTCTCGCTCTCTCCCGCCTGCACCCCCTGGGCCCAATTCTGCTTTTTGCCATGGCTGCGAATCCAGAGCACGGCATGTATGGCCCATCCAGGGCATCCTCCTCTTTTCACGGTGACCAGATGCCCCAGATAGACTGCCTCTGGACCTGAAGGTTCCACCAGAACAGGAGAGCCCTTCTAGTCCTGCATCCTGTTCTTACATCAGCCACCCAGATCCCTCTGTTGGGAAGCCCCCCAGCCAGATTCGAACCCAAGAGCCACTCTCCCCCCACCTGCAGCTTCCAGCACCTGCTATTCAGAAGCTCCACAAAGTCTGCAAGCCTTGGGTTGGTTAACATCCTGTGGCCTTTAAAATGGGGGTTGGGGGGTATTGATTTTGCTTTATTAGTTATTTTGTGTTCCCATTTTGCATTTCTGTGTTGTGAACCATTCTGCAATCTTTGAATGAAGGGCAGGATACACATTGAAGAAGTAAATAAAACACGTCCTCATTTGTGCTTGTTCCCCCAGCATCTGATAGGCTGCCCCTGGGGCTGGAGGCTCCACTGAGCGGTCAAGCCTAGTGGCGTCTCCTGAAGCCCATTTCCCTGCCCACGCCCTGTGGAAGGTGGCCAGTGGGGCCTCTCTTGAACACCCATTTCCGCCCCCGGGAATTGTCTTGAGGGCGCCTGGTGGAGTCTGTGGCAGCCGAGAGGCAGGCAGACTTCGCTCCATGCCCGTTCCTTCCTGGGCTGGGTCAGCAGCAGGTCAGAACCGGCCAGCAGGCGGCTTATCAGCCAGACGAGAAAGAGAGGGAGACCCTCGGGAGCTGGCAGGGCTGGGTTCTCAGTGCAGGAAGCTACTGCCCCACAGGCTGCACTTTGGATGGGCTTGGAAACCCAGGGAGACGCAGGATCACCCCTGCATCTTGGGGGGGGGGTGGATTTCCCTTGGGGGCACCTGGATGGCACTGTGGGAACAAGAGGCTGGGCTAGATGTCACCCCTCTGGCCGCCTTTTTATGTTCTCATAGAACCTCCAGGTCCAGAGGCAGTCTATCTGATTCCTGAGCCACAGGAGGGAGAGGTGTCCTGCTTGCCAGTTTCTCACTGGGCATCTGTGAGAACAGGACTGGATGGGTCCCCTTGGGCAAGCTCCCAGGATGTTCTCCTGCTCCCCTGCACCTGAGGTGCTCAGGCCTGCCTGCCTGCCTGCCTGTGGGAACTTGCCCCCTTCTCCAAGGACCACACAGAGCACCGTGCCTTGACTCTGCCGGCCAGACGGTGCAAAGGAGGCCCTGTAATTATGCCCCCCCCTCTCCCCCCCTGTTTACAGAGATAAGTGGAAAGAGACTGATGGCGTAAATGAATACCAGCTGCAAACCTCACAGCTCAGCTCTTCCTCTCCCTCCCGCAGCCTCCACCCCACCAACCCCCCATTTTTGGAAGCCTTCCCCACTTTCCCCTTATTTATTTGCAGGGCCAGGGGTGGGGGCTCTCGCCCCACCCTCCCTCCCTCGCTCCCTGCGGTGGCTGAGACAATAGGCAGGGAAGCCAAGAACAACGGAGGCAGGCGGCATTTTTCACATCTCCATGTTTGCCTGGATTAGGCTGTCCTGGAAACCTCAGGACTCTCCCTGCGCATCCCATAATATCTCTGCCTGGCTGGAAAGGTGTCCTTGAGTCTCTTGTCTGCTTGGAGGGAAGGCAGAGGTTGTGCATAGAAACCAGGCGATGCTACACAGGTGAACTTTGCATCCATGGCCCTGCCCACTTTGCGTCTGGCCCCGCCACCAATGCCGGGATGTGTGCTGCATGTGTGAACATGGAGCAAACACAGATTGGTTTATTCCAGTTACAGACCACCTGTTCCTCCGAGGAGCTCAGGGGGCCTTACAACAACCCTGTGAGGTAGGAGACCCTGAGAGAGGCAGCGACCGGCCCTGGCAGCCGCACCCAGCCAGCTCTGTGATTGAGCCACAACACAGCACTATCTTCCTGGCCTGCATACACGCCAGACATTGAAAGCAGAGCTCGGGGCGGTGGGGGACGTAACAAGGGTGATTTAGCTGTGATCCCTGCGGGTTGGACTAGATGACCCCCAGGGTTCCTCCCAACTTGGGGTTACCAGACGTCCCCGTTACCTGGGGACAGTCCCTGGATGTGCGAATAAGTCCCCGGACAAATTCCGTCCCCGGAATGTCCCCGGATTTCATCTAATGTCCCCGGGAAACGCGGCGGCAGCAGTCTCAGCAGCCTGGAGCAGGTGGCTCTGGCTGGCTTCAGGAGCTGCTGGGAAGTCCCCATATGATGGTGGTGAAGGGGCTCCAAGACGCAGCTTCCGGGCTGCCTCCACCTTCCCTGACCCCAGCAACTATCAGAGCTTGCGTGCAAGCAGGAGGGGGCAGGGACCTCTCAGTTAGGCAACTGGAAGCCTCCCTTCCCAGCTGAGGGGTCCCCATCCCCTCCTGCTTGCACACCTGCATGGGATTGGAGCTGCTTCGATAGGAAGGGAGGCATCGCGCTGCCTGAGAGATCCCTGCCCCCTCCTGCTTGCACGCAAGTAGAAGTTGGGATGGGGCTGCTCCAAGAAGCAGTGTGAAGCCTCGCTTCCCAGCTGAGGGATCCCCTTGCCCTCCTGCTTGCATGCAAGTAGGCATGGGGTTGGGGCTGCTCTGATGGGGAGGGAGGCATCGCGCTGCCTGAGCCCGGGCCCTCCTTCTCCGCCTTCCATGCCTGACGCTTCACCACCACCGAAGAACCAACGACTCAGGGGCTGCCCAGCCTCCTGGAGAAAGGAGAGAGAAGACGTGGAGGAAGAGGAAACGTGGCGGTTGAGGTCAAGGTGGTGGCCGCCCCTCTGCCACCGCCATCGCTGCAGCATCAACATCCCTGAACGTGTAGTAATTAATTAATTAATTGATTGATTAATTAAAGTGTTCCTGGAGTCATTGAAAAAAATCTGGTAACCTTATAACTACTTTGGCGATCACTCGTAGCTGAGTAAGATTATCTTTGATAATCGCTGTGGACAAAAAAAGCTCAAGAGATCCATCACTTAGCCGACACTCATGATGCACAGAGTTTCTTTAAAGCCACCAAGACCATCTTCTCTGGGCCACTAAATTGTGGCCTATGTGCTTCCCAACTATGATTCTATGAACACACCCCGTTCCTGGCGCTATAGTTTGCAGCACCCTTCAGCTACAGTTCCCGGGGTCTTCTTGGTGCAGCTTTAATCCTGCTCTAAGCACCTGGGGCGGGTGAGTGCGCAGCTCCGCTCCATCCAGCCAAGTGAGAGCATTTTTTATTTTACCAGGGGCGGGTTGTCTTCCTGCTCGCCTAACGTGAAGCAGGTGCCCTCTGCTCTGGGGGTCTGAAGACGGGCTGCTCGGGGGGCGGGACGAGGCTCCGTCCTTTGTGTAACTTGAGACCTTTCTGCCTTGCGAGAGCATCCCGCCTTCCCTGCAAGTACAAAGAGGAGGAATGTCTTGCGAGGAGGAGGCGGCGATGGGGGGAGGACCCCTTTCCTGAGATTTAGGAAGCCATTAAATCTGAAGGGACAAAGGGGAGGGGAGGGGGGTCAGTTTTTGTGTCTGACCCAGATTTGGAGGCAATTAAACCTCGGGCTTTGCGGTCCTGGTTATATAAATGGCCAGTCGTTAAATCTGTGTTTTTTCTAAATGCCTCTGGAAATTGGAACCAGGAGCCCCTTTTTAATGAGGCTCAGGGATTGGGGGGGGGAGGCTGCCCCCCATGACCCTTGCCTTTCTTCTTCTCCAGAATCACCCAGAGCTGGGAGGGGTCAGCCCCTGGCTCCCTGTGGCTGGGCGGGGAGGGGGCTTCCAGGGGGGACCAATCGTGTGTCCAGGCTCCCGGTCCTCCCATTTTGTTAAAATGACCGTCATGCTTGGAAGGGAACAGTTTAAACTGTGGAACTCCCTTCCCCAGGAATCCCTTTAAGAGAGGAGGAGGAGGAGGGCTTTCAAGGGCTAGTAGCTAGTCGAGAAGCTAGCAGATGGCTCTTGGTTTCAAATCCTGCTCTCGGGTTTTCCCTTGGGATCATTGGGTGTGCCATTGTGAGAACAGGAGGCTGAGCCAGGTGGGTCCAGCCAGACTTTCCTCAAGTCCTTATGGAACCTCCAGGTCTAGAAGCAGTCTATATGGATTCCTGGGATCTTTGGGGCATTTGCCCCCTGTGAGAAGATGCTGCGCCCCCTTTGGCCAGATCCAGCAGAGGGGCTCTTCGTAAGTGTTTTCATGCTTAAGCACCGCCCTCCGGGAATACAGGAAGTGGCCTTACATTGAGCCAGACGATTGGTCCACCTAGCTCAGTACTGCCTGCACTGACCGGCAGCAACATTGACAGCAGTCCCCTGCCTCAGAAGAAGGCAGCTCTCTCCATCCCTGTTTAAACCTCATCTTTTTCTTTTCTTTTTTTAGAACAAGAACCCTGCTTTAGCTTTTGGGGAAGCCCGTAGCTCAGCCCAGAAGGCCCCGACTCAGTCCCCGCTGGCAGCATCTCCAGGCAGGGTTGGGAGAGGCCCTGGGGAGCCGCTGCCGGTTGGTGTGAGCAGCACTGCGCTCTGTGTGGGAATAAGGCAGCTTCTCACGTGGCTCTGCTTTGCTGACTGTGCTGGACGCAGCCCAGCTTGGAGGAGTGGGGAGGCCATTCCCCTGCCCCACTGCTCTGCTCTTGCCCTAGAAAGGCCCCCTTCTAGCCCGCCTGCTGTGTTCTCTGCCCATCTGCGCCTCATTTCCCTTCCTGGAGCAAAGAGCTCGGAGCAGACCAGCTGCCACTTGGTGGCCATCCAGGAAAACGTGATGCGGCAGCCGAGGGACGGGCCATGGGGCTGCGCAGGCACACCCCTCGCTTCCTGGCCCCCTCTTGGCTGGGACACTTGCCTGAATGTTGAAGGTCCTGCCCCCGCAGCCAGAACCACGAGGACTGCAGTCTTACTTCACGGGCAGAGTGTATGTTTTGTATGTAGCAGGTCCCAGGTTCGGATGCTGGCATCTCCAGGTACCGCTGGCAGAGACTCCCCGTCGGAGACCCTGGGGAGTCGCTGCCTGTCCGTGTCCGCATTCCCGAGCTCTGTGGGCTGGTGGCCTGACTCTGCTTAGGACAGCCTCATGCGCTCCTCTGCCTCCAGGCAGACTGGGCCAAGCACAGGGAATTCTCTGGCTGTGATTCCTGCATTGCAGGGGTTTGGTCTGGATGGCCCTCGGGTCCCTTTCAATTCTTCAAACTTATGATTCTGCCCCAGATGTGGAGATGCGTTATGCTGCCAGCTGTCCGGACTGAACTGTGGAGTTTTCATTTAAAAAATAAAGTAGAATCCGTTCTTCCTGGCAAGCCTAAGCCAAGTCCAAGGGGCGCATCACAGAGCTTGGCTCTGGCAGACCCCGGGCATGGCTGCCTTGGGCAACTTGGAGAGTCCTCTTCCTTCCAGGGCTTTACCCTCCTGGCTCTGTTCCTCTCTCCAGCCGCAAGGTATAACAGCAGAGGAGCTGCTGGGTCAGCTGCCAAGGGGCCCACCTGGTCCAGCATCCTCACAGGGGCCAAATGCCCCAAAGGGCCTAGGAATCAAGATAGGCTGCCTCTGGAGCTGGAGGCTCCATCAGCACACAAGAAGAGCCCGGCTGCAGCGGGGTCAGGTCAAGGGGCCCACCTCTAGCCTAGTGTCCTCTTCTCACAGTAGCTGACCAGATGCCCCAACGGAAAACCAGCCAGCAGGATCCAAGGACGAGAGCTGCTCCCTTCCTGTAGTTTCCAGCAAGTAATAGGCAGGAGCCATGGAGGGAGAGAATATAGCAGTCATGGCTGCTGGTCAGGGACAGCCCTCTCCTCCTCCAGGAATTAGCCCCATCCTCTTTTTAAGCCAAGTCTGTGGCCACTCCCGATGCCTGTGGCAGTGAGTTCCACAGTTTAACTCTGTGCCACGTGAATAAGGGCTTTTTTAAAATCTACCCTGAATCTTCCAGCCTCCTCCTCCCCTGGATGGTCACCAGTTCTAGCATTAAGAGAGAGGGAGGACAAAAATTATCCGCCCACTGTCCTCATGACACGCGTGATTTTATAAACTTCTGTGAAGGCCACCTGTGAGACAGGGAAGGCGGAGCAAGCTTGTTTTCTGCTCGGGGGGGGGGAGTGCCCAAATTCATGGATTCAGACGACAAGGAAGGAGATTCCGACTGACCACTAGGAAGAGCATTCTGACAGGCAGAGCTGCTCGACTGAGGAACGGACTCCCTCGGAAAGGGGTGGCCTCTCCGTCCCGGGAGGTTTGTAGGCAGAGGTTGGCTGGCCCCCTGTCAGGGGTGATTTAGCTGTTAGCCCTGCATTGCAGGGGGTCAGACTAGATGGTCCTTGGTGGCGCCTTTCAACTCTACAGTTCTAGGATTCCAAGCTAAAAAGCCCCAAGTCTGGCTGGAGAGATGAGGACTGTGAAGTTTTTCTTCCTGTGATTTCATTTGCAGCGCGTTGTGTGAGCCGGTTCACACGGGCGCCCAGCCACCGCAGCCCCTCAGAAAGGGGACCTGGCGTTGACTCGGGGGGGGGGCACGGAGAGCCCCCCTCCCCGGCCCTCGCGTCTCCTCCTTCCTTTTCCGAAGCGCAGCTCAGGCTAATTGAAATAATCTGTTGCTGTTGCCGCCTTGTCAGGCAGACCCTGAGAAAAGGGCCTGGAGCTATTTTAATAATCGCATGAAGATGTGAAGGCTCACCCACCTCCGAGGGGCCGGGAGGCGTCCGGCCTCCTCCCTGCGCCGCGCTGCCCTCCCGTTCCCTTCGGGTCCCCTCCACCTTTCCCAGGGCGGCTCTTGATCTGATTAGGGCAGATGTTTGCCGGCCAGCAAGACCCCCCCCCAAGGGTGCAGGAGCCGTGGCTCTGCGACGTTAATTAATTTAGTTCTGCCTGCAAAGATATCGGGTTTGTTTGCGCAGACATGGGAAGGTTCCCTGGTCTGGAGTCTCCTCCTGTCTCTGAGCCGTTTCGGTCCAGGCAAGGAACAAAGCGTCGCAAACAGGGGGCAACGTGAAGCAGCCGGCGTCAACTCGGTGCCCTCCGCGTCCCCAAAGCACATCAAGAGAGCCGAACGGCTCAGTCAGGCCAAAAGGGACCTTCTAATCCAGCCCCCTATTCTCATGCCAGGAGGAATCTAGATAGACTGCCTCTGGACCTGGAGGCTCCATAAGAACATCAAGCCAGTGGGAGATCTGCTGGATCAGGCCAAAGGATCCTGTCCTCACAGGGAGCAAGCAGATGCCCCACAGGATCTGAGTGCAAGAGCAGCAAACCTCCCCACTTGCAGTTCCCAACAACTGACAACGGAGGAAGGACAAAGCCCTTGTGGCTTGGCGTAATTATATTTTTTTCTGATCCACTGTGGGTTTGTCTCATTAGGGCAAGGGCTGCAGCTGAGTCCTAGAGCACCTGCTGGGCATGCAGAAGGTTCCAGGTTCAAGTCCTGGCATCTCCTGGCATGGCAAGCAATATTCCCTGCTGGTCAGTGTGGACAATACTGAACCAGATTGACCAAGCCTCTGGCTTGGGAGC